CTTCATTTTACTTGAGAATTGCTTGATGTAGGGGGACAGCTTGCAGAGACGACTTCAGCATCTTGCCATCGAAAAGTGACTTTAACTACTACGCTACTATAAGAAAATAAAATTGTGCCTTCGCTACTAACAAATGTTAAAATTTTTAGCAAAAATGATATTTTAAGTGTTATTTTGTGATACAAATCGTTAGGTTCTACTTTCTATTTGGATTGGATTAAAGTAGATTCCGATTCTTCAAAGTGAGACAAAGAAATTACGTATTAGTACAGAATAGCACATCTACTATACTTGTACAGGGAATCTGCAAAACTTGTATAAATGTAGCGGTATGGGTGACGCGGAAAGACCTAGGATTTCTTCTGCAACACCTATCGCAAAAAGCATAGAATACTTCTATTTTTTAATTAAAAGGTATCCGCGACACATTATCTAAACAAGTGTGGTGAATATCTCTTATATACCTAATTTTTTAAAAACAATTAACTCCCATTTTCATAGCAGAAATACATAGAAGGAGATAAAAATATAATTACTACTGTTGACTCAAAGTGTTTTGTCAAAGTTGTGCAAAAAGAATTCCAGTTCTATAAAGGAATATCAGTCATAAGAGGAATAGCTAATGAAGAATACTAGTTCTAGAGGGAATTGTTATTGAAGTTTTTCTAGTTCTAGTTTGATTAGGAATAGCTTTGTTATTCACAAATATGTTAGGAGTAGTTACTATAAATAGGGATTGCCCTTTATTGTAGAACTCAAGCATTCAACATTAATCTTGTGAGGTACGAGAGTCTTTGAGAATATGATACTAAATTCCCCTAGAAAGTAGTACATGTGTTTAGGTTTCAATAGTTTGGTAGGAAAGATCATTCTATTGTGTAATCTCAGGTTCCAAACAGTGTACTTTAAATATTGAGCTTTTAGTGGATTTAGGCAAGTTCTCAAATTGAGAAGTGCCTCGCAGATTAGGGTTGTTTGCCCGAACTGCGTTACAGATCGTTTGTGTTACAACGTTAGTTTCAACATCATTGTGTGCTGCGCTTTACAAATTTTCAATTGGTATCAGAGCCATACTGCTTAAGTTACTAGCAGGATCCTAATAGAGTTTCCAAGAGAAGGACTATCAAACACAGAAGGGATACAGTGCTATGAGTGCAAAGTGTTTGGACACATCCAGTCAGAATGTCCAACATACTTTAAAAGGAAGAACAAGACATACATGACAACATTAAGTGATGACTCAGACAGTGAAGAAGTCACCAACACCAATTTCATAGCACTCACCACAAATCATGAAAATAACAACGGAGAAGATATACAAGAATTACTAGAGGCATATACTCAACTACATGCCAAATGGGAACAAATCATCAAAATAAATCTAGATCTCATGGAAGAAAATCAGTTTCTAAAAGATGAAAAAGATAGAGGAGAAAAACGCCTTAAAGATACTCAGAATGAATTAATGGAGTCAAAAGGCAGAGAGGCCAAACTGTTACAAGAGATCAATGAACTAACTGAGAGGCCTAGATCTCCAAATCCAGCATCAAATGAAAGTCATTCTTCTAAAATTCCTGAAGTGTCGCAACATCACTTCCAACACCGAAGGAGGATCAGATGTTATTACTGTCACAGACTGGGGCACATAAAAGCATATTGCTTCAAAAGATAAAATGATCTGTATTACAGACAAATCAACAAAGATTGGTCAGTACAAAGCATGAAAATCTGGGTAAGAAAAGATCATAATGTTGCCTACACCTCAAAAACTAGCAAAGAACAAAACGTATGGTATTTTGACAGCGGGTTTTCAAGGCATATGACAGGAAATCCAGGAAATCTGGAAAACATTCAGTATAAGAATGAAGGACATATTACCTTTGGAGATGGGGGAAAAGGCCATATCATTGCAAGCGGCATCTTGAATGTCCATGGGCTGCCTAGGTTGCCAAAAGTCCTTTTAGTACAAAGTCTAAAAACAAATCTAATCAGCATAAGTCAGCTTTGTGAAGATGAACTCAAAGTAGAATTTTCTAAGGACAATTGCACTGTGTTTAATCAGAATCACAAATGTGTCATGATGGGAAAAAGGTCCGCAAACAAATGCTATACATGGGATGGTGACCTATCTGGTTTACAGACAACTAACAAGCAAAAACAATCACGGCACCAACATATGGGACACATAAATTCTCATGACATCAAAGGGGACCAAGAAATATTCCTAGACTATTCAAGTTATTCATCAAACAGTAAGACTTTCAGTGCAGACAGTACAATGGAATCCATGAATGTGGTTATTAATGACACAATTTCAAGAATAACCACTAATGATGACGAAAGTCCCAGAGTTGTTGAAACAACTGTTACAACACCTCTGACTACTGTTATGCAGAATCACAAAACAGAAACAGAACCAGATGAAGAAAAGGATGATGGCTCTGCAACGATCATTATGAGCCCTGTTCTGATTTCACAGGAACCCTACCAAAATATTCAAGACGAACGCGAACCACCTCCAACCTGTTTGTGCAAGACAGCCCTAGAGGGCGAGGGTGGTATGGCGGTGGCAACGGAGCGTTTTCCGGTGATGATTATGTCACCGGAAATTGGAGAAATTCCAGTTTCGTCTAGGTTATCCCATGAAGATCAGATCGAATATTTTAGAGATCATTTTGAAGAGCTTTCACCGGATTTTGTGCTATTTTCAGAAATTAATGATGGCGCAGAATTAGTACGTTCGAAATTTCGGTCAGGAAATCTAGATGCGATCGTAAGGCAGAAGAGACCGATTGATGGAATCTCAGTGGATTCATGTTTGCATGGCCAGAATACATCTCCGATTAAAAGAATTCTCGGCAGATTGTCTGAGCTTTGGCGTCGCGCTCCTCCGATGTGCAATTTCCCTTCGGGATGTCGCGATTGAGGAGAAGTGATGAAATCAAAGGCGTTGGTGGTAATAACAGAGGAAGAATAAATTAGAGGAGAAATTAGATGTGATAGGCTGATATAATTGGGAATTTTTTTAAAAACAAATCATACTCAACGATAGCACTCACCAATAACAGAGATACATGGAATCAATTAAGGAGGAGATGAGTCAGAAGTCAAAAGCTTTCTATGGAATCAAGGTTTTTGCCAAAAATTTGACAAAGGGGGAGAATGTTGACTCAAAGTGTTTTGTCAAAGTTGTGCAAAAAGAATTCCAGTTCTATAAAGGAATATCAGTCATAAGAGGAATAGCTAATGAAGAATACTAGTTCTAGAGGGAATTGTTATTGAAGTTTTTCTAGTTCTAGTTTGATTAGGAATAGCTTTGTTATTCACAAATATGTTAGGAGTAGTTACTATAAATAGGGATTGCCCTTTATTGTAGAACTCAAGCATTCAACATTAATCTTGTGAGGTACGAGAGTCTTTGAGAATAGGATACTAAATTCCCCTAGAAAATAATACATGTGTTTAGGTTTCAATAGTTTGGTAGGAAAGATCATTCTATTGTGTAATCTCAGGTTCCAAACAGTCTACTTTAAATATTGAGCTTTTATTGGATTTAGGCAAGTTCTCAAATTGAGAAGTGCCTCGCAAATTAGGGTTGTTTGCCCGAACTGCGTTACAGATCGTTTGTGTTACAACGTTAGTTTCAACATCATTGTGTGCTGCGCTTTACAAATTTTCAACTGCCACCAACCATTGAACCTAAACACATTATCTGATCAAGCTGGCGCAACATCTTAGCAGTTTCTTCATCAATCTCGTACAACCCTGAATGAATCCCTCAAGAACTTCAAAACAAAATTCAACACAAAATTAATTCCAATTCAAGCCCCAACTAGATAGTGAAAACAAATGCCATCTAATTTAATTTTCTTCCTCTTATTAAAAAAATACTTTGTTAAATTTCGTTAAATCAGTCAACAAAAAGTTAAGTTAAATTTCGAGTGTTGTGCTTAGCTTGTCTGAAGATCTGTCTCGGAGGGCCCAGTCGGAGACAAACGCATTGTAACTCCGTATTTCTTCGGCGACGCCGCCTCTTCCGTTGACGTCGGTGAAGTCTCAGCTGCGCTGTCAGAGCCCACCGTCATATCAATTTGTACTCGTTTTGTGAACAAAGAAAGAAGAAAAAGTTCACAAACTCTAACAGAGATCAAGGAAATCTGAAGCAACCCATAACAGATCAGGAAATCTACTTGGGGTCTAATATATGTTGTGTCCTGGAAGTCCACTCGTCAGAAAACTGTTTAATTTATCGTTCTTCCACGCAAGCTGAATACCAAGGGTTAGCAAATACAGCAGCTGGGTGAACTTGTTTGGGTTCAAAATCTTCTTTGTGAGCTTGGTGGTTCAGTTACTAAAGCCCCAATATTGTACTATGATAATCTTGGTGCAACGTATGTGTCGAGAAATCCCGTTTTTCACTCTCTAATGAAATACTTAGTTTTGGATTACGTTTTTGTTCGAGAACGAGTGCTTGATTCAATGGTTCTCAATTTGTGTGTTAAGCATGCATATTTATACTCGGGACCAGATTGCTGATGTTCTTACTAAGTCTCTTGGGCGAGATATGTTTCTTTGTTTTCGCTCCAAGATTATTGGAGTCTCTTATGGATCCTCCATCTTGCGGGGACGTATTGTGGATGTCTCATAATATTGATCAAGATAGTCTATTGTTATGTTTTGGTCATTCTATTCTTCTGTACTGTCTGATCTCCATTTGAATAAGAGTTATTAGTGTGTTTCCCACTATTAATTTTGCTTATCTTTAATTGGTATTTAGTTATTATAGTCTTGTATAAATAGTGTTCATTATTTTGTTAATAAACAACACAGAAAGATTACTTCTCTGATCTATAGAAGAGGATTCAACTATTTGGGAGAAGGTTTGTTCATAAACAAATTAAACAAGCAAATCTTAGATTACATATGCATATGCATTCAATTAACCACACTGCTAGCTAGAGCTGGCTGTCTTATTCAAATTAAAGCAAATTCAATTCATAAATAAGTAGAAATTTGATGGAGATCGAGTTTATTCAAAAACGTAACAAACAAGCAAACTACAAACAAGTGAACAACGTAACAAATGTTACATATGCATTCAGCCACACTGCTAGCTATAGCTGGGTGGCTGTCTTATTCAAATTAAAGCAATGCAAGCAAAGAAATGAAATGAAATGGTGCGGTTTAAAATCTGTCATCCGGTTCGTGATCATCGAGAATATAACTCCCGTCATCCTGTTGAACCATTCCTTTATCTTTTACAATCCACCAGGCCACGGGTATATTATATTCGTCTTTCAAAGCATCTTGATACTTATTAATTTTGGCAATATCAAACTCCCCGTGAGGCTGGAACCCTCCTCCTTGAGACGACCCTTGGAATCCATCAATTCCATGCATATAAAGATTATAATCGTGATAGCCAAGACCCGAGAGATCAGGCTTCAAAAACTCTGATTTCTTAGATTCAATCAGCAAAACCTCTCCCACAACTTGGTAAGGTATAAATGGCAGTAGGGGGCCTCCAATTGGGATTGCAGGTGGCGGAAGTTCTGGAACAATATCTTTGACATCGGTGATTCGCAAGCCTCTGAGATTTTGTTGGTTTTCAAAAGCATTCTTAAAATTCACGTCCCCTACTTTGGGACCTGCAGACATGAAAGCAGTGACAGGAATTTTTGAGTTGAATGAGTTGACAGCCAGGTCTGTTGCACTCAGTGTTGCCATGGCTGAACCCAAGCTGTGTCCTGTCACGGTTATGCTAACTTCCTCGTTCTTGTATAACTCAACAAGTCTTGCAACTTCGTCACGAAGCTATATATGCAGGCAGGCAACAAATAAAAACATATATATATATATATATATATATATATATATATATATATATATATAACTTGAAGTCCAAAGAGCAGAAAGAATTATATATATATATATATACCTGATCTCTGGCAGTCTGTTGGACATCTAGATTGGTGGTGGTATACATATCGTACCAACCCTTATGCACCAGAGGCTCAGAATTTTCGCCAAAGATTAATGGCGCCTTAGTAAAAAAGAATGTGAAATTAGAGTCCCACTCTAAGGGTCGCATTGTTCCCCTCCAAACAACCAGAATGTCTCTGTTACAGGGCTGGATCGCGTCACAGGCCTACGGACTGGACTCGAGTGGCGAGCCGGAGGGACGGGGGAATCTGGTGATCTACCTATGGTTAAAGATAAGAGAGAACAAAGGATAATGATAGCTAGTGGACACAAGATTGTTAAAAGAACTGAAGCGTTTCTGGAGTGCTTCTCCTCCCAATCTTTCATATACTTGAAAGCCAAAAAATAAAATCCAAGATGATCTCCCCCCATGCATGGCGAGACTTAAATACAAGAAATAAAGAACCTATCCTAGAAAGCAGGAGAAGCAAAACTAATAATAACGTTAACAAACTAATAGTAACGTTAACAAACAAGAAGATAGGAAATATTTATTTTGAAAAAGTCCTAGGCTGCTGCCACCTTCTTCTTCCTTCGCTGATATGTTTTGCCAATGAACGTATCAATACCCCCTCCCTGCAAATCAAGCTTGTCCTCAAGCTTGTAATCGGGAAATAATTCCTGGAAATGAGAAACAGTTTCCCACGAGGAATCCTCAGGCGCGGCACCCTCCCACTGGACCAGAACCTCAGGCACTCCACGATTCAACCGGGAGCGAAGTACATCGGTAGGCCGAAGCAAAACCGGGAGCGAAGTACATCGGGACAACTTAGTGAACAAATGGCGACGAACGGACAGTTGGCGATACGGATGGAGACGTAACCAGACCCACTGGCCTAACTGGAAGTGGACCTCACGATGATGATGATTATAAGAAGCGGACATACGGGCCTGTGCAAGCCGCAAACGGTCACGAACTTCGGCCAGAACCATATCCCGCCTTTGTAAGTGATCATCTATGGCCTCAAGTTTTGAAACGCCTGGTTCATATGACAGAAGTTTGGGAGGATCTCTCCCATAGACAACTCGAAAAGGAGTCGTGCCGATCGAAGTGTGGAACGAAGTGTTGTAGCAAAACTCCGCCCACGGCAACCACTCCACCCATTGGCGAGGGCGATCGCCCACGAAGCAACGCAAGTACATCTCTATCGTACGGTTGGTCACCTCCGTCTGGCCATCGGTTTGCGGGTGGTATGCGGTCGAAAAGGACAAGGTAACACCACTGAGTCTGAACAATTCTTTCCAAAATGCGCAAGTAAAAGTCTTGTCCCGGTCGCTAACCATGCTCTCCGGGACACCGTGCAACTTGACGATGTTCGCAAAGAAAACAGTGGCGACCGTAACCGCCGTGAAGGGATGCGAAATCGGAATGAAGTGAGCATATTTGGAGAACCTGTCAACGACGACCAATAAAGCAGTTTTCCCGTGTACCTTCGGTAATCCTTCCACAAAGTCTAGTGAGACATCACTCCAAACAAGTGACGGAATAGGCAACGGTTGAAGAAGACCGGCCGGTCGCAGGTTTTCCCACTTGTTGCGCTGGCACGTAGTACACGAGCGCACGTAGTCCCGAACAGAGGTCTTCATTCCTCGCCAATAGAATTCCCGGGACACCCGGAACAAGGTCTTCTGAGCGCCCTCATGCGTGGCATCATGAATACCTGCAAGGATTACAGGAATAAAGTTAGAAGTAGGAAGTAGATAAACACGATCTTTATACCTGAGGACTCCATCACGCAAAGACCAGCGGTCACCAGCCGAACCCGCATTCACACGATCGAGCAAGGATTTTCCTTCCGGGGAATCGTCCAACTCGCGGGAAATGGAGTCCAGCAACGAGGAACGAGGACTGGACAAGAAAAACAACATTGGGGAGTCCTCGTCACGGCGGGACAACGCGTCTGCGACCGCGTTTAAACGCCCGGCTCGAAACTCAACCTCAAAATCGTATCCTAATAACTTGCTAATCCAGTGGTGTTGAGGAGACGTCGTGAGACGTTGCTGCAAAAGGAATTTGAGGCTGTAATGGTCCGTGCGGATCAAGAACCTACGACCCCATAGGTAGTGTCGCCAATGACACACTGCCTGAGCGAGGCCAATCAATTCCCTCTCATAGGCCGCTAACTGATGATGTCGATTGGCAAGCTTGCGGCTAAAAAAAGCAATGGGGTGATTAAGTTGATGCAGAACCGCCCCAATACCCACCCCCGAAGCGTCACACTCCACAATAAATAATTCATCAAAGTCCGGGAGTTGCAGCACTGGTGCCGACGTGACAGCGGATTTAAGCTTAGCAAAAGCGACGTCCGCTGCAGGGGTCCAACTAAAAGCGTTAGATTTTAATAAAGAAGTTAGGGGGGCCGCAATTAAGCCGAAATCTTTAATAAATTTCCTGTAAAATCCAGCTAAACCCAAAAACCCACGCAACGCGCGAGTAGACTGCGGCACCGGCCATTCCAGGACATCTTTAATTTTATTAGAGTCCATTGAAACGCCGTCCGCAGCAATAACATGACCCAGATAGCAAACCTGAGACTCACCAAAAACGCACTTAGATTTTTTTAGGAGTAAATGATTATCATGCAATAAAGCAAAAACCGTCCGAACATGATGCAAATGCTCAGCCCATGTCCTACTATAGATAAGTATATCATCAAAAAAAACGAGGACAAATTTACGGAGTAAAGACCCGAAAACCTGATTCATCAACGCCTGGAAAGTGGACGGCGCATTGCACAACCCAAAAGGCATTACCAAGAACTCGAAATGGCCGTGGTGCGTTCGAAACGCCGTCTTTTCGACGTCATCGGGGTGCATGCGAATCTGATGGTATCCGGACCGCAGGTCCAATTTGGTGAAAAAACGTGAGCCGTGCAACTCGTCCAGAAGTTCGTCAATGACGGGGATGGGAAACTTATCTTTAACTGTTTTGGCGTTGAGTTCCCGGTAATCAATACAAAATCGCCAAGACTTGTCTCGTTTAAGGACAAGCAACACGGGCGACGAATAAGGTGAACGACTAGGCCGGATAAGGCCCAATTCAAGCATGGCCCCGCACTGTTTCTCTATTTCGTCTTTTTGTGCCTGCGGGTAACGGTAGGGACGAACAGCCACCGGGTCCACCCCAGTCGCAAGTGTAATACGATGATCACAAGAGCGAGCCGGAGGAAGTGACGTGGGCTCCTGAAATAACACAGAATAGTCAGTGAGAAGATGTTCTAAAGCGGTCCTGGCCGGCGTTGTGCTTATCGCGCGCAACGCGCGATGGGGCCGAAGAAGCTCGCCGTGCCAAGTGATGGGGTTGCCTTTAACGGTAAAGGACATTGTAAGGGCAGTGAAATCCCAAAGAATTGCTCCCAAGGTCCGCAACCATTTAACACCCAAAACTAATTCAAAACCCGCCAAAGGAATAACATACGGACTAATAAAAAATATTAAACCATCCTTAACAACGCGAACTTTATCGCACAGTCCAGAGCCGGAAATCTGTTCGCCATTCGCGACCGCAACCTGGAGACCGACGCACTCGGTGACCGGGAGGCCAAGCAACTTCGCCGTATGCTCACTGATGAAGTTATGTGTACTGCCCGAGTCAATCAAAGCAGTGACAGGCGTGTCTGCGAGAAATACTTGCACCTGCATAGTTTGACCGGGATTAGAACCTGTAATGGCGTGTAAGGAGATCTCTGGATTGTCAGTAGCCATCTCCGGAAGAGGGTCGCATTCCGCGTCTGAAATAGTGTCATCCAAGACGAGAAGGAATAAATGCTTGCATTGATGCGCAGGGGTCCACCGTTCGTCGCAATTGTAGCAAAGGCCACGCGAACGCCGGTGGGTATACTCTGCGCGTGAGAGGCGTCGTTCCGGTGGAGGAGTCGCGCCGACGGGCCGGTTCGAAACAGAGTGCGCGCTGGCCGACGAAGACGCGGAACGACTCCCTAGCGAGTGGGCAGTGACACTGGCCGGGAACGAAGCAGTCGCTGAGGGACGGCCAGAGGAGATGGACGCGGACTGCTTCGACTGTGTACCTGAAAAAGAAAGGTTGGCGGTGTTAGATTGTCGTCGAGGCAATCCCGAAGACTCGCGCGGAGCACATGACTGTCGTCGGCTATATGAACGCGCCAAGTTCATGGCGATATCCAGGTTCGCCGGCCGGTGGTTTTCGACATCAATTCTCAGCCACTCGTCGAGGCCGGCAGTGTACAAGTCGACCTCTTGGTCGCGACGAACAGTGGTGGAGCGCATGAGCATTGACTGGAACTCGTCGTTGTAATCCTCAACCGGCTTCCCGTCTTGATTGAGCTTGGCTAGCGATCCCAGAACGTTGCTGCGCAGCCCAGGGCCAAAACGCAAGAAACATCGCTGCTTGAACTGCTGCCATGTCATGTCTGGTTCCTCAAGCTCCAGCCGGAAATGCCACATCTGGGCGACACCCGTCAGGTGGAACGCGGCGGTGCTGACGAACTCTTGCGGCGGCGTGTTCTGGGCTTTGAAAAATTGTTCACAGTGATGCATCCAGCCAATGGGATCATCTCTGCCATCATAGCGGGGAAATTCGAGGCGCGTAAACTTAGGCAGGGCTGTGGTGGCCAGACCGGAAGACGCCGGAACTTGGGCAGCCTCAGGGCCTGTGTGGGGTGCAGCGTGGCTGCTGGAAGCGGTGGCCGGCTCTTTTCCGGTAAGAAACTGGCGGAACATTCGGCGCAGCTCATCTTGGTCAGCGCGCATGGCCTCCATCGCTGTGAGTTGGTCAGTGCGCATGGTCTCGAGCGCAGCCTGGAGGTGTTGGACATCCCCGCGAATCGCCGTGAGGGAGTCAGCCGGTGAGTTGTCGCCCATGACGATAGCCTCTGATACCAAATTTGTTACAGGGCTGGATCGCGTCACAGGCCTACGGACTGGACTCGAGTGGCGAGCCGGAGGGACGGGGGAATCTGGTGATCTACCTATGGTTAAAGATAAGAGAGAACAAAGGATAATGATAGCTAGTGGACACAAGATTGTTAAAAGAACTGAAGCGTTTCTGGAGTGCTTCTCCTCCCAATCTTTCATATACTTGAAAGCCAAAAAATAAAATCCAAGATGATCTCCCCCCATGCATGGCGAGACTTAAATACAAGAAATAAAGAACCTATCCTAGAAAGCAGGAGAAGCAAAACTAATAATAACGTTAACAAACTAATAGTAACGTTAACAAACAAGAAGATAGGAAATATTTATTTTGAAAAAGTCCTAGGCTGCTGCCACCTTCTTCTTCCTTCGCTGATATGTTTTGCCAATGAACGTATCAATCTTCGTCCCAAAGCAACTTTCCCAGCATCCGTGGCCACAGCCACATACCCATTCCAGTTTGTTTCCTTTACCAATGCATCCGCTCTTGCTGGCCTCACATCATACCCTGTAACTCCGGTTGAGGTTCCTGCTGTTGCATACAAGTATTTGGTCACTTCATATCTGAAACAAATTAAGAAAATAGATCAGAACGTAACAATATAATTTAATTAATTGAGCTAGCTATGAAGATTGAAGGGGTTTAGATCAGAATGAAACTGTTATATCGAAATGAAACTGCAGTATATACTCACTGGAAGGGGGTTCCCTTGACAACTCCTGTGTTGGCGAGGAGGTTTCTCCTGGCGTATCTGCACAATCCAATATTTTTGGAAGCTGGGTCAGTTATGAGACCTTCTCCTGTGGGTACACTCATGGTTGTGTAGTGAATGAGGTAGCGGCGGAGATCCGAATCCAAAGGGTCCAGAAGCCCTTTCCAGTTTTCACTCCCACTCAGAACCTTCCATCTTTCAGCTATGCCTGTGCCACTCATCTTCAATTCAATTCTCTCTTTGCTTGCTTATTAGCTTCTTTTAATTTACTTGTGATGATGATGATACACTTCAGTTCCCTCTCTTTATATACACCAGCCATGCCATTCATCACTTCCCTCGTGCATCACGAGCCAACATTTTATATTCTAACACTTAGCTTGAGATTAGATCAGATCGATCTGCGGGCAACAATATAATAAATTAGATTCATTAATTTCTGCTCTTCTATATATGTATCTGGACGGAGCACGTCAGTTCTTGGAGTCCACTACAGAATTGAATTGAATATATATCCATGCGCAGCTGATGGATATATTAAATTGAATTGGATAAGTGTCCATGCAGCTAGCAGTGGTTGTGTATAAGTTTTTTTCTTTTCAAAACTTGAATACAATCACGTAGTGTTAATAATATTTTAAATTACTAAATATTATAATATAATTACAATATTGACCCAATTAATTAGTATATATTGATAATTAAGTGTGTAGGGAAAGGATCAGGTGCATTTGTTGCTTCCCGTGCGGATGTGTGCGGTGGATTAATGTGCGTGAGGTTTATACTTAATGTGCGTGAGATTTGTACTCAATGTGCCTAAGATTTGTACTTAATGTGCGTCATGTTAATATGCGTGAGTTTTGTACTTAATGTGCCTGAGTATTGTGTTTAATGTGCGTGAGATTTGTGCTTAATGTGCGTGCGTATTTCAGAATTACGAGCTCAAAAGGAAGCAGAACATTAATGCCCAAGCTTCTTGTTACTTCTTCCTTCAATTTGGCCATGGATTCTGGATTATCAGCTACCTTCAGTGCAGTTGAATGTTTATATAAATGACACACGCACAGTAAAATTTGCACAGCAGCTAAGTGTGGATTTCTGTTGTATTATTCCCATAATTTTTAACCACCATAGCTCGCCTCCGCATCATCATCATCAGGGAGGGGGCAAATGGCTACTGGGGATGGGTAAGAAGCTGACATCAATATTTTCTGCTGCATTTTTCACATTCACGCACATTAAGTACAAATCTCAGGCACATTAAGCACAACACTCACGCACATTGAGTACAAATCTCACGCACATTAATCCACCGCACATCCGCACGGGAAGCATTCACTGTACGGGAACCTTTCACTAAGTGTGTAGTTATTCATATTTTCATTTAGGGGGTGTTTGGTAAATAGTTATTAAGATTAGTGGATTTGATTAGTTGATCTGGGATGGAGTACCTCCATTTCGTTGGTTTCTAAACTTCCCATCAGTTGTGCTACAGTTTTGTTCTCCCAACCAGTATGTTCATGTATTGCAGTTACTTTCATCCTGAAACGTTGCGGTAGGGACCTAATATTTGTCTTTCACCAGTTTTGGTTTAGGAAATGGTTCACCAGGGATATATAGTAGCTCGATTTGCAAGCTCCTGGACTCAGCTCATGCGTGAAACTCTACAATGGTTTCTTCCTCTGATCTTTCAATCTGAGTTGTTCAGATTCAGATCAACTGTATAGTAGTTTGGATTGTTTCACAGATTCAGTTCCTTCATACGTGGTCTCAAGTGTATCACATGCATCTTTTGCAGAGTCACAACCAGCAATAAGTGTGAACTGATCTTCATGCATTACAGATACAATTGTATCTAATGCTTTGCTGTTATAGTTAGCTAATGCAATTTAAGCTTCGGACCATTCACTCTCTGATTTTGGCACAAGAGAATCACCTTCAGCGTCTCCTGCCTTGGTGGGATGCTCCCATCCAGTTAATTGAGACTTCCATACTCTTTGTCATTGGGCCTTGATATGTATTTTAGTGCGAACTTTCCAATAGGCATAGTTAGCCCCTTTTAACTCAAATGGTCTCAAGATTTTATCCATTTTGAAATTCTTAAATACATGTAAGACAGACCACACAAGTAAAACAATAAAGAAAAATACTAAAGCCACAACATGCATATGATGCCAATCTTGAATTCAAAAAACATGAAACACCCAGAAAGATGAACTAACAAATTAAGTTTACTGGTTCTGATACCAATTATTAAAATTGTAAATCTTGAGTGCAAGACAATCCTAACTAGAAAGCAAGCCATATCGCAAAGGAAGGTGCACTGGCCGATGCTCTTGCATTTTTTTTTTCCTTTCTTTGTTCTTTGTTTTAGGTTATTAGGTTTGGTTTGCTTTTCCTTCCATGTTCTCTACTGTTCTTGCCTTAAATTTGAGGTGAATATGAGCTTCTAAGACAAAACTTTTAATAAATTTTGTTTGATTGTTTTTTTGGTTGTTCTAGATTTGTAAATTACAGCTGTGCGTGTTTGGTTTGATTTTTGTGGGTGATTAATGATATAAATGATTTGTGATTGCTACGTGCACAGTGGAAGTGATTTTTCTTTTTTCTTTTTGTTTTTTGTTTTTGAAAGGGGTATTCGCGATTGCCAATGTCCTTGTGGTCAAGCGGCATGAAGTGCTCTCCCAAATGGAAGGTCATGGGTTTGAGCCTCAGTGGAGGCGGTATTGACTCGGTGGGCTTCAGTAGGCTGAGAAAGCATATGAACAGATACTAAACCCACGGTCAATAGCACTAAAAAAAAAAGGGTAAGCATATGAACAGATACTAAACCCACGGTCAATAGCACTAAAAAAAAAAAGGGTATCCGCGACCGTTTCAGCAGAAAAACGATCTCGGTGGGCTTCAGTAGGCTGAGAAAGTATATGAACACCCAATGCCGTTTAATACAAGGAAATTTCGATTTTTTTTTTATACAAATCAGGTTAACCCGCTATATTTTTATGTCTATTTTTTTAAAAAAAATTCATAATTGAAGATCAAAATGCCCTGAATTTAATGAAATTTAAACTGTTGTTTTGATAAAAGACTAAAAATTGTCATACCACAATAATACTATGACAAAAAATGAATGTTCTGAAAAAAAAATTTAAAAGTAGACCGTCACCTATAAATCTATGACAAAAAATGAAATAAACTCTTTTTTAAAAATAAAAAAATAAAACAATCCGCGTTTGTTTTATATAAAAATGGTCGCGGATTCTCAAACTTTCCACGAACGCTGGTTCACAACTGTCGCAGAAAGCTGAGTTATACAATAATTGCGAAAAATTCATTACAACAGTAACGGATTATGTTTCACCACTCAACTATCCCGGCCTTATGAACTCTTTTGACACATCTTTTAGATTGATTCTTGATATAAACTTGTAGACACAAAAAATATAAAGAAAATATATTTTAGATTGATTCTTGATATAAACTTGTAGACACAACTTAAAATATACACAAAATATTATATTGATCGAGTGCACGTTGAATTGTTGGGGATATATATTTAAGGGTTAATTTCAGTGGAGGTCCCTCGTCTTTAATTTGGTGGGAATTTTAAAATTAGTTTCAGACTATTATTTTTGTCATTTAACATTCCAGACTTTTATATTTTGGACACTTTTAGTCCTTTCAGCGAAAGTCTATTTTAGAAAAGGACAATTTAGTCTCTTCACTTATATTTTAAAAAAAAAAAAAATCAAATTCACATGTACAATACATGTACATCTTCATAAACCTTCTTAAAAAAAAATCTGAGCAAAACATGTAAAAAAAAAGAGAGAGAGAGAGATAAGTGAAGAGACCAAATTGCCCTTTCATATTTTGGACTATTATTTTTGTCATTTAAAAGTGTCATTAAAAATTGCCCTTTCATATTTTGCCCTTTTCAAAATATGATAGTCTAGGATGTTAAATGACAAAAATAATAATCTGAGACTAAATATGAAATTATCACAAAAAACAAGGGACATCCGGTGAAATTAAGTCTATATTTAATTTCATAGCTGAGATATAAGTTTGTCATCATACTATTACTTAAATCGATGTTTAACTTTGTCGTCATACTATTAATTAAATCGATGTTTAACTTCAGTTACGAACGTGGATAATAAACTAATAACTTATAAACAGTTGAATATATATATATATATATATATATATATATATATATATATATATATATATATATATGCATGCAGCTCATGGATATATTAATCAAAAACTTAGCTTGAATACAATCACGTGTTAATAATATTTTAAATTAGTAAATATTATAATATATAGGAAAAAGTGTCAAATTGGTCCCCTAAGTCGAGTGAATAGTGCAATTGGGTCCCCTAAGTGAAAAAAACTCCATTCAGGTCTCCTAAACCTGTTAAATTGTTCAATTAAGTCCAGGTTGACTTGTTTATCAGGTTAAAAGCATACAATGCTGACACGTGTCTTTATTTTATTTTTATAAAAATATTATTTATTATAAATTAATTAAAATATAATAATTAAAAAAATTTATTCTTCATTAAAAAAATATTTATTATAAATTAATTAAAATAATAATAATAATAATTTTAAAAAAATAGATGTGGCCGACGAAAAAGAAGATGGTCATGGCCGTCTTCTAGATCTAGAAAACGGACATGGCCATCTTCTTTCGTCGGCCATGGTTGTCTTTCATAGACGGCCGCGATAGTTTTTTTTTTTTTTAAATTATTATTATTATTATTATTTTAATTAATTTATAATAATAATTGAACAAAAAAAATTGGCCATCTTCTTTCGTCGGCCATGGCCGTCTTTCTTAGACGGCCGTAGCCGTCCGGCCACGGCTGTTTTTTTTTTTTTTTTTTTTTTTAATTATTATTATTATTATTATTATTATTATTATAATTAATTTATAATAAATAATATTTTAATACAAAATAATTTGTTAATTGTTATTATTATTTTAATTAATTTATAATAAATAATACTTTTAATAAAAATAAAATAAGGACATGTTTAACTTGATAAGCAAGTCAACCTAGACTTAATTGAACAATTTTACAAGTTTAGGGGACCTGAATGAAGCTTTTTTCACTTAGGGGACCCAATTGCACTATCCACTCGACTTAGGGGGCCAATTTGACACTTTTTCCTAATATATAATTACAATATTAACCCAATTAATTAGTATATCTACAAATCTACAAATCTACAAATCTACAAATCTAATAAAAGCCAATAAAGTTAGATACGGAAACTAAAAAATGTTGGTGTAATTGTTTAATTTGTTGAAATGAATGAATCATATTATTTTCATTTTAGTATTTTTTTTATGATTTTCTTTCCTTACCCTCTATTATATTATTTTATTTTCTTAAATAACCCTGCATTCCATTACTATAAACTTTAGTAACGGAATATTCCGCTAATTATTTATTATTCTTAACTTATACTCATTAATTTCTATAAGAAAATTCTTAGGTTCGAACATCATCCCAATCAAAATTGTCATAATTGTTACACATATATTACGATCGAATATGTTATAATGTATTTTAAAAAATACAATATAAAATTTAACATAAACTTTGGTCAAATAATTAGCCCGACTAAATACATAGCATTCAAATTAAAGTTGAGCATCAAAGATTATAAATCAGGAACTTTGAAAATCATTTTCTTGCATTTTTTTTTTAAAAAAAGTTAGTTTTAAGTTTTTTGTTCTTTTTTTTTTTTCTTTTAATTAATCTTCTTTTGATTATTTAGAACAAAACTCAATATTTCAATTATGCTTTGTATTATTGAAATGATTTAGGTCATTATGGTATTACTATTTTTTGTATGTATTTCTATAGTGGTACACTTTTACATTATTTTGCAAATATTGTACTATTATTTTTTTTATCGGACAAAATTGTTCTTATATCATTGTCAGACCTACGCGACTTAACTACTAAGTTGTTGATTAGAAATACAACTACACCACTAGACTCTAAACGATCGGACCATTGTCCAAAGAATTGATAATGTTGACATGGTTCCAATTAAACAAGTTTACACATTATACTCAGAATTTTATCAATGCGTGAAAACTTCTAAAGAAATTTGTTAATTAATTTTAACTATATCATTATAACAATATCCAAGGTCGGTCCTATCATTTTATAGGCCCGGGGTGTAGCAACAAAAGTAGGACCTATATGAAATTAATATATATTTGCATAACTACATGAAAAATATACTAATTACAAATAACTTGAAATAAGATATACAAGTTTTTAACAATTTTGCATACACAATAATAATAAAAACAACTCTAGATGTTTTTATAAGTTATAAAAACATCTAGAGTTGTTTTTATTATTATTACTGTGTATGCAAAATTGTTAAAAACTTGTATTTCTTATATCAAACGTTTTCCCGTGCATGTTCACGAACTGCTTCATCACAAGTAATTCGTCACAACAAGCCATATTAGCACAGCACATACCAACCGTGACTCACGCCAAGCCTGGTCCATACCAGATCCATATCCCCTCCTGGTATCCACGCTGCCCCTAACACAACAGCGCCCTGCAAAGTCACACTGAACCCGTGTGCCTTGCCCAGTGCTCCACTAACCAGCTATTGCCATTAGTTAGCAACATGCACAACGCAGCATCAAACGTTCCCAGTGCATGTTCATGAACCGCTTCATCCTGAAGCGTCCGCCCATACCAGTCGTGACTCATGCCAAGCCCGGCCCATACAGGTCCATGTCTCATGACAAGCCCAACCCATATCAGTCGTGACTCATGCCAAGCCCGACCCGTGCCAGTGCCATACTGGCCCATACCAGGTCCGCGACCCCGCCTGATATCCGCGCTGTCCAACACTACAGCGCCCCTCACCACTTTCTCATCTAGCATCTAGAAATATCCAACAAGTCCAAACAATGTTTGATCTTGTTACTAGTAACTGCTAGAAAATCACCTTCACTATAATAAGAATCACCAACATGTAGCACGTCCGTAGCTTCCTGCTTCTTCAACTCCTTCCAATCAGCCTCTTCCAGATTTGCTGGATTTTCCGCCCTCAAGGTTTTCAGAAGGCCCTGATATGCCAACAAATCATTTACCCTAGACCGGCATAACCCAAAGTTCCCTATACCATCAAACTTTGATACCTCGAATTTTGTACTTGAACTGGCCATCTCAACAGTGCTCTGATATCAATTTTTCGGGATTAACAAGAACAAGAAACAATAATAATGGCAAAAAAGATAAAAAAGGCAAGATTTACGTTGTTCGGCAAAGTGCCTACATCCACGGGAGTGAAACAATTCTTATATTCATAGTGATGGTGATAGTGGTGACACGACCCATTAGGAATACAACCAATATATTTATAAGCATCTAATTCCTATACAATGGGTCTACCCGTTTCACTCCTACTCCCAGTATGAGACAAACTCATATTCCTAATCCATACATGAGACAAACTCAACAAAGCATAATTGAAATATTGAGTTTTGTTCTAAATAATCAAAAGAAGATTAATTAAACGAAAAAAAAAAAGAACAAAAAACTTAAACTAACTTTTAAAAAAAATACAAGAAAATAATTTTCAAAGTTCCTGATTTATAATCTTTGATGCCCAACTTTAATTTGAATGCTATGTATTTAGTCGGACTAATTATTTGACCAAAGTTTATGTTAAATTTTATATTGTATTTTTTAAAATACATTATAACATATTCGATTGTAATATATGTGTAACAATTATGATAACTCTGATAAGGATGAGGTTCGAACCTAAGACTTTTCTTATAGAAATTAATGAGTACGGAGTATAAGTTAAGAATAATAAATAGTTAACGAAATATTCTGTTACTAAAGTTTATAGTAATGTTATGTGGGGTTATTTAAGAAAATAAAATAATATAATAGAGGGTAAAGAAGGAAAATCATTAAAAAAATACTAAAATCAAAATAATATAATTCATTTATTTCAACAAACAATTACACCAACATTTTTTAATTTTCATATCTAACTTTATTCGCTTTTATTAGATTTGTAGTTTTGTAGATATACTAATTCATTGGGTTAATATTGTAATTATATATTATAATATTTACTAATTTAAAATATTATTAACACGTGATTGTATTCAAGCTAAGTTTTTGATTAATATATCCATGAGCTGCATACATATTCAATTCAATTTATTATATCCATGAGCTGCATGCATATATATATATATATATATATATATATATATATATATATATATATATAACTGTTTATAAGTTATTAGTTTATTATCCACGTTCGTAACTGAAGTTAAACATCGATTTAATTAATTTTTTGAAAGCCAACCAATGAATAATTGTATTAATGAATCAAAGCTGCAATGCAGTCTGGAGGGATAAATCCCAGTACATAGCCTGATCCTGAATAAAAGCTAACGAAGCTAACGTGTGCGCATGCGCATTAATCTGCCTAGAAACATGATTAAACAAGACATAATTAAAAGACGAAGCTAAAGTCCTACACTGGTCAACTACTACTCCAACATAAGACATTATGATAGTTGTATTCTGCCGTATCGCATTTCTCAGCTGTAAACAATCTGTTTGAATCATTACCGTTGTTATATTCTTCTCCAAAAGCCAGGATAGAGCTTCCTTGCATGCCAGTGCCTCCGCCATGAATGGTGACAAACAATTCGATAGTCTCCCATTTTTTGCCGCAATAAAAGATCTCTCCGGAGACAGCAGCACAATACCATACGTAGCTTCCCCCGTGTCCTCCCGATACCCCGCATCCACATAGCACCGTGGGGTGGTGTCGGTGTCGCCATCCGCCGTAGCCACCGTGGGGGCCGCCGTGCCACGGCACACCACCTGCCGGTAGGAGTGCAGCGCCGCCGTGGCCTGTCTCCAAGCCGTGGTAGGTCGCGGCAGTGTGCCGTCCCATACCGCTGAATTCCTGCATCTCCATAAGCAATAAAGCAAAGCCACCACCGCTGCACTTTGGTCCTCTGTGAACATTGTAAGCACAATTGTTAGCCACTCGGGGAATGAGTTGACAACAATATTTGTTATTGGCAATCCTGAAATATTCCAAACATGTCTAGAATAATCACAATTGATGAATGTATGCATAACATTCTCATGCTCTATCCCACACATTTGGCATGTGGGATCCACCTCCACCCTCTTTATAATCAAGTTGTTAGTTGTTGGAAGAATATCACAAACTGCTCTCCACAAAAAAGTCTTCCATTTTGGGGGTATTTTCATTCCCCACATTTTAGTCCATTTCTCAAAACTCCCAGGCAAGTGATCATAAATTCCCATAATGTGTCTGTAGGCATTTTTAACTGTGTATATCCCATTGGGGTCATCAGGCCAATACCATGAGTCCTCATATCCTGGACTAACAGGTATCCTCAATATTCTACTCACATCTTCCTCCTCAAATAAATCTGCTAAAATATGCGGGTCCCAGGTAGCAGTTTGCTCATCTATTAAACCTACCACTTTAGCGTGCCTGAGCTCTACAGGCATATCAGTCTGCACCAACGGGCTAGGATTATCAGGCAACCATGGGTGTCCCCAAATCAGTGTTGTTTTACCATCCCCTATCCTCCTGCGCACCCGTGCCACCACCATGTCATGAGCTGCCATAATACTTCTCCATGAGTGGCTCGGGCATCCTCCTACTTTGGCATCAATAAAAGTGGTATTAGGATAGTACCTTGCCTTATAGACTTTTGCAACAAGTGTGTCTGGACTTGTGAGTAGGCGCCATGCCTGTTTTCCCAACATTGCTAAATTAAAATTCCTGAGATCTTTGAATCCCATTCCTCCATATTTCTTTGGGATGCTTAACTTATCCCAGGCTTTCCAGTGTATTCCTCTATCCATACCAGTGCCCCACCAATACTTGTTCATTGTTCTCTGGATTGATAAACATACTGAGCCCGGGATCAAAAAGACACTCATTGAAAAGGTAGGCATAGATTGTGCCACGCTTTTCAATAAAATCTCCTTTCCTGCCTGCGTCAGAAATTTCTTGTTCCATGAGCTTATTCTCTGTTTTATCTTATCCTCAATATATGAGAACACTGCCCTCTTGTTCCTCCCCACAAAAGATGGTAGTCCCAGATATTTCCCAAAATTGGGTGCCTGGTCTACCTGCAAGCAAATCGCCACCTCTTCCCTATCATCCACACCGGTATTTTTGCTAAAACAGACACTGGACTTGTGATAATTTACCTTTTGTCCTGAGAGCTCCTCATATCGTCCCAGACACTGTTTAATTACTCCCGCCTCCTCCCCATCTGCTCTAAAAAATAATAGGCTATCATCTGCAAAAAAATAGATGTGATATCTGCGGGGCTCCCCTAGCAACCCTACAGCCATGTATTGAGCCAGACATTTGCGCTCTTTGCAATAACACAGATAACCCTTCTGCACATATGAGGAATAAATATGGGGACAAAGGATCCCCCTGCCGCAACCCCCTGGTTGGCGTTACACCTCCACTATGAACACCATTAATTAAGATGTTATACTGGACAGTAGTAACACACTGCATTAACAAATTAATCCACCGGTCCTCAAAACCCATTACCTCCAACATCCGTCTCAGGAACTGCCATTCCATCCTATCATACGCCTTGGCCATATCCAATTTCAACGCTGCCCACCCCCTCCTTCCACACTATTTTCTATTCAAGTAATGCCCCACCTCCGCAGCTATTAAAATATTATCAGTAATAAGTCTCCCAGGGATAAAAGCACTTTGGGCCTCAGATATGAGGTTCCCCATGAGCGGTTTCATCCTGTTGGCTATTACCTTTGACATGATCCTATACAGAACATTACTTAGAGCTATTGGTCTCATATCAGCTACTGTCTCAGGCACATCTTTCTTCGGGATTAAGACCACATTAGTATCATTCAATCCTTCAGGCAACGAGCCTGAGTTCAAGCAATCCACAATAAATTTAGACACATCTCCCCCCACAATATCCCAATATTCCTGGTAAAATCCAGATTCATACCATCCGGTCCTGGTGCTTTGTCAGGGAACATTGCAAATAAAGCACACTTGACCTCTTCTATCTCAAACTGGCGGAGGAGCTTAGTGTTCTGCTCACTAGTCACACGGGGGGCAAAATTATCAAACATGGGATCCTCACATTCAGTGTTTGATGATGTAAAAATAGTAGCATAATATTCTAAGACAACTTTCTTCATATTATCCCCCTCCACCCATGCACCCATATCATCTTTTAATCTAGGAATATAATTTTTCCTTCTACGAGCAGAAGCGTACCTGTGATAGAACTTGGTATTGCAGTCCGCACCGCGGAGCCAGTGCTGCTTCGCCCGCTGCCTCCAAAATACATCCTCCTGCATCTCCAACTGTACTAGTCTCTCCTCAATCTCCCGAAATTCAGCCAATGCAGCCGAATCTCGTCTGTGCCGTATCTCATCCTGCTCTTTCCTCAATTGCTTGATGCGGTCTCCAAACTTATGCCAATGCTCCCCACCCCACCGCATTAGCCTTCCCCCACAATGCTGTTGACAATTCAACAGCCCCTTATCCCTACCATCCTGCCAGGCTGTCTCCACCACCCTCCGACAACCGTCATCATGAATCCATGCCATCTCAAAGCGGAATCGTTTTGGTACCCCATATCTGCGGCCACGCACTACATCAGTGTTTAAGAAGAGAGCAGAGTGATCAGACTTTCGGGTTAGAATATTTTCGACCAACGCCTCAGTATTCAGTGTAGTCCATCGTGTAGACACCAACACCTTATCCAACCTTTCCTCCATCCATCTATCAGTCCCTTTCCCCTTCTCCCATGTAAACTGGTGACCCCGCATTGGCAATTGAACCAGCCCACAATTGTAAACAGTATCCCCAAACCCTCTCAACAGACTATCCGGGTGTGGATTCCCGCCTCTCTTCTCACGCTGGTATAATAAATCATTGAAATCCCCCAACGCCACCCATGGCAGTGTAGACTTATCCCTTAACCCACTTAACAATTGCCACGCCTCCCTGCGTCTATGCCTCTGTGGAAACCCATAGAAGCATGTCATCCGCCATACTTTTTCCTTAACAGCCACCTCCACATCCACATAATTCTTCGAATAACTCAACAGTCTAGCAGTATTATTCTTTCGCCATAATAATGCTAAGCCACCTCCTCCCCTAACTGGATCCACATAAAACAGGCCCTCAAAACCAATTTTAACTCGCAATCTTTCTGCATGACTCCGATCTACCTTTGTTTCCATTAAGTAGACGAAATCGGGCTTCTTACGGGACACCATGTCCACCACCTCACGAACTGTCTGTGGATTGCCCAAGCCACAACAGTTCCAGCTTATTGTACTCATTGAGATGGGCGGGCCTGACCAACAGGACCCGCCGTAAATCCGTTTTTTGAGAGCTCAGACATCACCACATCTCCTGCATCCATCCTTATACCACCACCACCACCCATCCCATCCCCCCTCCTTCTCTTAGCCGCCGCTACCACCACTCCCTCACCCACCCTCACATCCGTCACCCCAACCCGTACCCCTCCCTCACTCACACCACCCCCTAATGCCGTAGCCGTAGCCCCCACATCCCCCTCCCTTCTCATCGATTTAATTAATAGTATGACGACAAAGTTAAATATCGATTTAAGTAATAGTATGATGACAAACTTATATCTCAGCTATGAAATTAAATATAGACTTAATTTTACCGGAGGTCCCTTGTTTTTTGTGACAATTTCATATTTAGTCTCAGATTATTATTTTTGTCATTTAATATCTCAGATTATCATATGTTGAACACTTTTAGTTTTTCTAGTGAATTTTCCGGCAAAAGCGAATTTTAGGAAAGGGCAATTTTGTCTCTTCACTTATCTCTCTCTCTCTCTCTCTCTCTCTTTTTTTACATGTTTTGCTCAGATTTTTTTTTAAGAACGTTTATGAAGATGTACATGTATTGTACATGTGAATTTGATTTTTTTTTTTAAAAAAAAAATATAAGTGAAGAGACTAAATTGTCCTTTTCTAAAATAGACTTTCGCTGAAAGGACTAAAAGTGTCCAAAATATAAAAGTCTAGAATGTTAAATGACAAAAATAATAGTCTGAAACTAATTTTAAAATTCCCACCAAATTAAAGACGAGGGACCTCCACTGAAATTAACCCTTAAATATATATCCCCAACAATTCAACGTGCACTCGATCAATATAATATTTTGTGTATATTTTAAGTTGTGTCTACAAGTTTATATCAAGAATCAATCTAAAATATATTTTCTTTATATTTTTTGTGTCTACAAGTTTATATCAAGAATCAATCTAAAAGATGTGTCAAAAGAGTTCATAAGGCCGGGATAGTTGAGTGGTGAAACATAATCCGTTACTGTTGTAATGAATTTTTCGCAATTATTGTATAACTCAGCTTTCTGCGACAGTTGTGAACCAGCGTTCGTGGAAAGTTTGAGAATCCGCGACCATTTTTATATAAAACAAACGCGGATTCTTTTATTTTTTTATTTTTAAAAAAGAGTTTATTTCATTTTTTTGTCATAGATTTATAGGTGACGGTCTACTTTTAAATTTTTTTTTCAGAACATTCATTTTTTGTCATAGTATTATTGTGGTATGACAATTTTTAGTCTTTTATCAAAACAACAGTTTAAATTTCATTAAATTCAGGGCATTTTGATCTTCAATTATGAATTTTTTTTTAAAAAATAGACATAAAAATATAGCGGGTTAACCTGATTTGTATAAAAAAAATCGAAATTTCCTTGTATTAAATGGCATTTCAATGATTTTGTTGACGGAGTACCAAAAATGGTCATGACACAATAACACTAGGACCAAATGAGGATGTTATAATAAAAAATGACTAAAAGTGGACTGTCACTTATATATTTAGGACCAAAAATAAATTTAACTCGAGTATCCGCAATCGTTTTTCTGTTGAAACGGTCGCGGTTACCCTTTTTTTTTTTTTAGTGCTATTGACCGTGGGTTTAGTATCTGTTCATATACTTTCTCAGCCTACTGAAGTCCACCGAGTCAATACCGCCTGTTCATATACTTTCTCAGCCTACTGAAGCCCACCGAGATCGTTTTTCTGCTGAAACGGTCGCGGATACCCTTTTTTTTTTTTAGTGCTATTGACCGTGGGTTTAGTATCTGTTCATATGCTTACCCTTTTTTTTTTAGTGCTATTGACCGTGGTGTTCATATACTTTCTCAGCCTACTGAAGCCCACCGAGATCGTTTTTCTGCTGAAACGGTCGCGGATACCCTTTTTTTTTTTAGTGCTATTGACCGTGGGTTTAGTATCTGTTCATATGCTTACCCTTTTTTTTTAGTGCTATTGACCGTGGGTTTAGTATCTGTTCATATGCTTTCTCAGCCTACTGAAGCCCACCGAGTCAATACCGCCTCCACTGAGGCTCAAACCCATGACCTTCCATTTGGGAGAGCACTTCATGCCGCTTGACCACAAGGACATTGGCAATCGCGAATACCCCTTTCAAAAACAAAAAACAAAAAGAAAAAAGAAAAATCACTTCCACTGTGCACGTAGCAATCACAAATCATTTATATCATTAATCACCCACAAAAATCAAACCAAACACGCACAGCTGTAATTTACAAATCTAGAACAACCAAAAAAACAATCAAACAAAATTTATTAAAAGTTTTGTCTTAGAAGCTCATATTCACCTCAAATTTAAGGCAAGAACAGTAGAGAACATGGAAGGAAAAGCAAACCAAACCTAATAACCTAAAACAAAGAACAAAGAAAGGAAAAAAAAAAATGCAAGAGCATCGGCCAGTGCACCTTCCTTTGCGATATGGCTTGCTTTCTAGTTAGGATTGTCTTGCACTCAAGATTTACAATTTTAATAATTGGTATCAGAACCAGTAAACTTAATTTGTTAGTTCATCTTTCTGGGTGTTTCATGTTTTTTGAATTCAAGATTGGCATCATATGCATGTTGTGGCTTTAGTATTTTTCTTTATTGTTTTACTTGTGTGGTCTGTCTTACATGTATTTAAGAATTTCAAAATGGATAAAATCTTGAGACCATTTGAGTTAAAAGGGGCTAACTATGCCTATTGGAAAGTTCGCACTAAAATACATATCAAGGCCCAATGACAAAGAGTATGGAAGTCTCAATTAACTGGATGGGAGCATCCCACCAAGGCAGGAGACGCTGAAGGTGATTCTCTTGTGCCAAAATCAGAGAGTGAATGGTCCGAAGCTTAAATTGCATTAGCTAACTATAACAGCAAAGCATTAGATACAATTGTATCTGTAATGCATGAAGATCAGTTCACACTTATTGCTGGTTGTGACTCTGCAAAAGATGCATGTGATACACTTGAGACCACGTATGAAGGAACTGAATCTGTGAAACAATCCAAACTACTATACAGTTGATCTGAATCTGAACAACTCAGATTGAAAGATCAGAGGAAGAAACCATTGTAGAGTTTCACGCATGAGCTGAGTCCAGGAGCTTGCAAATCGAGCTACTATATATCCCTGGTGAACCATTTCCTAAACCAAAACTGGTGAAAGACAAATATTAGGTCCCTACCGCAACGTTTCAGGATGAAAGTAACTGCAATACATGA